AGGTGAGCGGTTAGGAGCCAGCAGTCCCGGATTGCGAGAGGGATGTCCGACTGCTGGTTTAGGCCCGATCCCTATAAACCGGCAGTAGGACATCCTTCCAGGGGTCCCAGATTGGAGAGGGTGCAGGCCGGGCTGAGGAACACCCGCCCCCCATGCACGAATTTTGTGCACTGGGCCACTAGTCCAACTAATAAAATTATCAGAAAGACAACAGAGAAAATGGAAGGCAGGAAGCAGTGAAAAAAGAGGCAACAGGGGAGACTATCTCAGAATGAGGACACGAGCTCACTGCAGCAGGGCAACCGAGGGGCCACCGTGAGACGGGGAGACCGCCACTGTCCCTCAGGCCCCAGAGGGCCTTTCCCAGCTACACGTAGGCATTCATCCGATTGTTTGAAAAGCACAGCACAGAGGCTTTCGTCGCCATGTTTTCTCCCAGAATGCAACAGCCCCAGGCCTGACGCCAGCATAAATCCAGAGGGAGGCCAGAATGGAGGTGGTGTCTCACACCCCAATCCCAGAGGCCTCCGGGCACCTTCAACCCCCCTAGCCTGGCATTCGATGCCCACCCGCATCTCCAGCCTTCTGCTTCTCTTGGCCACATTCTCAGCTCAAATGAACTAGCCCCAACACTACAAAAAGGCGGGGAGACCCCGAATTCCTCACAATCTCCTTTACAAAGAAGAAAACATGGGGAGGGAATGTGCTCCCTACACAAACTCTCCCTCTCCTGGCAGGGCCTCCACCCCTCACCACCCTCTTCACAGCGCTGGTCATCATCTCCTCTACACGCCCGCGCCCCCCCCCCCCCCCCCCCCCCCCCCCCCCGCCAGCTCCAGGAGAGCTGAAAGGTGGGTGTCTGCCCAGCGCTGCCTGTGTAGAGGTACAGTGTCTGATGCATCTTAGCAGGTGCACGCTAGGGGCTGAAATGTGACCCCAGAAGTCTAACCCAGCACCTCAGACCGTGACTGTATGGAGACAGGCCTTTGAAGAGTCGGCGTGTTCAAGTGAGACCACTGGAGTGGCCCTCACCCTGCTGCCTGAGGCCCCCAGCACCCACCAGCCCCCAGGACGACACATGCTGGTCCCGCCAGCTGCACAGGCTCCCTCCACATGGAGCACCGCTTCCAGCGCTGGCTCCCGAGTCCCTCCACCCACCCCAGGAGCAGCCCCGGGAGGGCTGGGCTTCGGGGGCTCAGCCACAGTCTCCATCTGGCAGGACCCCTGTCCCCTCAGAGCCCCTCACTGGCCGGGGCTGGGGACACCTCTCCCCTCGAGTGCTCTCCCTCCAGGGAGTTCCCTCCCACTCAAAGCGGGGATCAGAGGAGGAGCTTGGGGTCTTGTCCTCAGCCACTCCCCAGGCTGCTGGGCTTGAGAACAAAACCAGTGGCCTGCCAGGAAAGGAAGCAGACTCAGCTGTCGTTTGTTTTTAAGAGACTCTGATGAGGGACTATTGAGTGTGGGCATCAAGGAACCCAGCTGGGTGTGAGGCCCCCTGGGACCAGCAGGGGGAGGGAAGAGAGGGCCAGGGGAGGGTTACGGCAAGAGCTATCACGGGGGAGGGCACAGCCATCACCAGAGCTGCAGGCTGGGTAGGTCGGAGCCAGCGAGAACTACCCTCGCCTCTCTCCTCTCCCATCTCGGGCCAGTGCTCCCAGTGGCCAAATCCAGCCAGAAGCCAGGGGCCCTGGAACCCAGTGATGCCCTGGGCACAGAGCAGGACAGAGCAATGTGGGGGGGGGGGGGGGGGGAGAGAGGTAGGCCAGGGACCCAAGCAAGGCCAACAGGCAGGGGTGCTCCCACCTGCGAGGCCCAGAAAGCCTCCCAGCAAAGTCCAAGCTGGTGAGCATCACCTGTGTTAGTTGGGAGTCTCTCCAACAGAGAATGGGCAGAACCAACCCGTCGCCAGAAGGGCTCAGAACCAAGCTCAGGGCTCTGCAGCCGAAGCCAGCACTTGCAAAGTCACCCCCAACCAGCCAGAGGCCCTAGGACCCAGACACTCCGGGGTCACCACCACCCCCAGAATGGATTTTTCATGCCCCTGCTTCTCTAACCAACACCTCCCAAAATGAAACCGAGGGCAGGGCATTTGATTGGCTAAACCAAGGTCAGGTGCCTGCAAACAACCTTGAAGAAAGCCTGGGAAAGCAAGCACCCCACATTCCAATTAGGCAGAAACCGCAAAGTTGGGAGGAAGTTTCCCAGGCTGGGCAGCCAACAATGCCCACAGATACTTCTTCTAAGTCAGTGTCCTTCCGACAGTATTTCCAGACTGGGATCCCGGCCCCTGACCTCGGTACGTGTCGCCGAATCTCTCCCCGATGCTCATTCATAACCGTGCCCAGTGAGCACTGCCTCTTTTCAAAAAACTAGTAGGGAGGCCCTGGCCGGCGTGGCTCAGTGGTTGAGTGTTGACCTGTGAACCAGGTCACGGTTCAATTCCTGGTCAGGACACATGACCCGGTTTGCAGGCTCAATTCCCAGTGGGGGGCGTGCAGGAGGCAGCCGATCAGTGATTCTCATCATTGATGTTTCTAGCTCTCTCTCCCTCTCCCTTCCTCTCTGAAATTAATAAAAACATATTTTAAAAAAATAAAACTTAAAAGAACACTAATAGGCAAAATAGCATTGGTATCTCATTGCTTAATTTTTCTTTCTTTTTTGGTTCCTTTATTAGTTGTATTCTGCAAAAGTCTTTGATACTCGGCTTCGAACACATTTCATTTTGTTTCAATGGCTGATTTTTCATTATTTTCCTTTTTGTAGCCCATGCTAAAACCAGCTGGCATTTGCACTCGGGTTCCAGTCAGCAGTGGGAACAGGGAAAAGAGCCTTAAACTAGATCCATGTTTCTTTCTCTTCCACGTAAAACAGGCCTAGAGGTCAGGCCAAAGCTGGCCCTGGGCCACTGCATGAGGCTGGCAGGACCGCTCCTCCGGACAGCCGGACAACTCCCCGGTGGCCTCGTCCTCACTAAGGTGGCAGCTGGCGCTCCTACATCCGCCCAGTGACAGGACGGGATAGAAGCCTACCTTTACGACACTGCTGTTTGCATCTTGTTGGCAAAACTCAGAAATGTGGCCGCACCAGGGGGCTAGGCAGGCAGTCAGCTGCAACAGCCTTGTGCTCAGGGCCGCAGGAGAAGGGCCCCGAGGACAGGCCACCGTCCTGGAGGCCAGTGGGGCTTGCCTGCGGGGTTCAGGGCACCCGAGGCACAGCTGCTTTCTTCCTTTGTACTTCTGAGCATTCCCTTTGTTCTTTCACAGCACTCTACACCCTACACTTGCGTGGACTGGCTAATGCCTGTGCTTGCCTCTCCTTGGGGGCAGATATTGTATCCCCAGCAGCAGCACCGAGTCCCTGCTCAGAAGACATTGGGTCTGTGAATGAGGCTGTGCCAGTCCTCTGTGCCCGGCTCTGGGACGGGTGCTGAGGGTGCAGGGGGAGACCTGCCCTTGGCACTCATGGCCACCAGAGGAGGCTGACAGGTGCCACCAGAGGACTCACAGAGCAGGCGAAGCGGGGAGCTGGCGTGGCTGGGCTGTGCTTTATGAGCTGCAGGCAATAAGGGGTCAGGTCCTTAAGGTGCGACTTCAAGTTCCTCTCAAGCCCAAGGCGAGAAATGTAGCCACCGGTGGCTTTCAGCAGGGGGGCAGAGCAGGGGGGACAGAGCAGCTGGGGGGACAGAACAGGGAGGGCAGAGCAGCAGGATGGACAGAATGGGGGAGCAGAGCAGGTGGGGGGACAGAGCAGAGGGGACAGAGCAGGGGGGACCATGAAGAGCTGACGAGGCTGGGGAGAGGGCTCTAGGAGGCCGGCCGGAGCGACACAAGGAGCACGGGTCCTCAGGACGGTTGGCCGGCAGACAGGATGCCCCGTGGGGGCAAGAAGGGAAGAGGTGGCTGTGGGGCTGGGAAATCGTACGATGGTTGCGAGTGGCCTAGGAGGGAGTCTGAGGTTGGACGGAGGCCAAAGTGAGGGGTCTGAGAAAAGGAGGGGAGACCGCGCAGTGAAAGAAGACAAAGGAGGCCCTGTGCTCCGGAGCCGGCCAGCCAGGCCCCGGGGGAGTCTGGAGGAAGGAAGGGCTGGAGAGGGCCTGGCTGGAGCTGCAGCAGACAGCAGTTGGACGCCTGCGAGCCGAGCTCATGGCTCAGCAATGCCCCAGCCCTGCCAGGAGCTGCGGGCCCTGCCGCCTCCTCGCCCACCCCCCAGCCTGGCCCAACACGGGGGCTCTGAAGCTGTCCCCCGTGGGCCTCCCCTTCGCAGAACCCAGGCACGCGCACCCTCCCCACCACCCCAGCTCCCCCGGCAGTGGGTGACACAGGTCACAGGCCGGGAAGGAGAGGGAGAGAAGGAAACCGGCTTCGGGCCGAGCCAGTGAGAGTTAACGTCTGCGGCGTCTGCCCGACAGGCCTAATGAGACCCAGGTGGTCCCCTGGCTCCAGCAGAAGCTGGTTCGGCGCCCGGCGGGGAGAGGGGGCTCTGCAGCTCCAGGAGGTGGGGCCAGGCTGCTGGCGGGGGGCCCAGCACATAACTCGGCGCGGTCGCCGTCTGGGGCAGCAGACACCCAGCCGCTCCGAGCTGAACTGGCAGCATGAAGGTACGGGCCCTGGGTGGGGGACTGAGCCCTTTTTGGAGAGGACCCCAGCCAGAGAGAGGACTGGGATGGCACCCGGGCTCTGGTGGCAGCTTGCTCACCTCCGAGGGCACGGAGCCTGGCTCAGAGCGGGTTTCTGGCGGGGGGGTGTGTTTGGGGGGGGGGGGGGCGCAAGTGCGCAGAAAGCAGGGGCTCTGCGGTGTCGGAAGGACTGTGTTGAGGACCCTGATTTCCTGCCAACAGGCCCTCCTGGCCCTGCCGCTGCTACTGCTGCTGCTCTCCACTCCCCACTGTGCCCCCCAGACCCCCTTGATCCGAGGAGATGGTAAGCAGCCCGTTCGCAAATGCAGCCGGGCCCACAGGCGGGCGGGCGGGAGAGGCTCCGAGCCAGTGTCTGGAGCCCGCCAGCTCTCAGGACTCAGCTCCTGCTCTAAACAGGGCAGGTGGACGAGATGACCTTCGAGCACCCCCTCTCTAAGAACTCTTGCAATTTCTTGTGAGAGTACCCTGCCCCTAGGGACAGAGGCAAATTGTGGGGTGCACGGTGTGAGCTCTGCCTTAGCCCCTTCCTCCCCCTCCCCGGCCCCCCAGCTCTGGAGAAGTCCTGCCTTCAGCAACCCCTGGACTGCGATGACATCTACAGCCAGGGCTACCAGACCGATGGCGTGTACCTCATCTACCCCGAGGGGCCCAGCGTGCCGGTGCCCGTCTTCTGCGACATGACCACTGAGGGTGGGAAGTGGACGGTGAGTGGGAAGAGGAAAACAGAGGCCCAGTTCTGGTCCCAGCATGTGACCAGGCTGCACCTCTGGGAACCTCAATTTCTTCATCTCTGTCCCCACAGCATAGTTTGTAAGCTGCTGTCAACAGTGAATTCTAGGGGCACGTAATCCCCATAATAACCCTGGGAGGAAGGTTCCTTTTATAAAGGAACTGAAGCCCAGAGAGGTGAAGTAACTTACTCAACATCACACAGCCAACACGGACTCCTACCCTGGCATTTGACACCGTCCTAACCTCTTCCCAGCACTAGCAGCTGCTCGAGGGGTGCCAGTGTGCGCCTGGTTTCAGCTCCCTGCTCAGTCCTCTAACAAACCACCTTAGTAGCTCAGGGTCCAGTCCGGGGGAGGCCCTGTCCACTGGGCCTTGAAAACCCAGGCTGTCATCTCTGCTCCAGGTTTTCCAGAAGCGATTCAATGGCTCAGTGAGTTTCTTCCGGGGCTGGAACGACTACAAGCTGGGCTTCGGCCGTGCAGATGGGGAGTACTGGCTGGGTAAGGCGGGGCCCGGGCAGGTGGGGGACCCCCCCGGGGCCAGGGCCTGGCTGACCTGCTGCCCCTCCGCAGGGCTGCAGAACCTGCACCTCCTCACGCTGAAGCAGAAGTACGAGCTGCGAGTGGACCTGGAAGACTTTGAGAACAACACGGCCTATGCCAAGTACGCCGACTTCTCCATTGCGCCCAACGCAGTCAGCGCGGAGGAGGACGGCTACTCCCTCTATGTGGCAGGCTTCGAGGACGGCGGGGCAGGTACCCTCCTGGCAGGCGGAGGGGGTGGGGAAGGCGGGCTGTCCCTGACCCTGGTGGCCCCTCTCCCTTCCTGGCTCCCAGCCAGCCCCGCAGCCCTGGAGCAGCCACGCCCGCTGCCCGGGAGCAGCTGCTTCTCTTTGTGCAGCTCAGCACCCAGGCTCTGGCTGGGGAAGGGCGCCTCCCCTCCCGTCAGCTCAGCCTCCACAGCCGCCCCTCTTCCCGCCAGGCGACTCCCTGTCTTACCACAGCGGCCAGAAGTTCTCCACCTTCGACCGCGATCAGGACCTCTTCCTGCAGAACTGCGCTGCCCTCTCCTCGGGAGCCTTCTGGTTCCGAAGCTGCCACTTCGCCAACCTCAATGGCTTCTACCTGGGTGGCCCCCATCTCTCCTACGCCAACGGCATCAACTGGGCCCAGTGGAAGGGCTTCTACTACTCCCTCAAGCGCACGGAGATGAAAATACGCCGGGCCTGAGGCCTGGCCCCAAGCCCCTGCTCCTGGCTGCTGGCCTCCAGGAGCGCTCCCCTTGCTGGGCCTGCGCCCCCCTGCACCCCTCCCCCATCAGCTCTGCTTCTCACAGGGCTTTATGGCTCAGCTCACCTTCACACCAGGCGTCCACCCGAGCCAGGCCTCTCCCCCTCCACCTGAGGCGAAGCTGCCAACCAGTTCCCAGGCCTCCTCTGCCTCCGCCCAACACCGAGCCAGGAGCTGCTCGCCCAGGCGGCAGGCTGGTGTTCCCCTTAGCCAGCCTCCTTCCCGCGGCTCATCTGCCGGGGCGCGCCTGGCGTGATCCGCACCCCAAGTACGCCAGGCCACCTGCGTGGCCGCCATCACACACCCTAGCAACCCCCCTGGCTGTTCTCAGAGCGTCTCACCCTTAGCTTCCTCCTCTAGTGGTGAGCACCGTGGGCCCCTCGCCCCATCTATCACCTCAGCTTCTCCGCTTCCTGTCCCAGGCCCCCAAAGTGTATTTCACCACAGCTCCTGCACGCACCCCAAACAGCCACAACCCGGGCAGGCAGATGAGGTCGGGCCACCGGAGCACAGGCCGCCGTGGGAGGCTGGAAGCAGGCGGGGGAGGAGGTCTCAGCCTCAGGAGGGCGAGTGGGCTGTGGAGGTTGTACATGCAACTGCATCTGTTGGCTCTCAACGTGGGGCCTGGCTCCTCCTTCCCCTTTCTAACAGCACCCGCCCTCCACTCCAAAGACACGCGGAGTTAGCACCAAAGGGAAACTTCTATTTCACAGGCCTCATTTTTATGGCAAAGAGAACGACTAATAAAATTACATAATAAAAATAGAATACTGAGAAGGCTCGCCCGAGGAATAGGGGTTTCCTGATCCTGTCGTGGCTCGGTGGTGGCTCAGGTGGCTGCTTAAGGCTGTGGGGTGGGTCTCAGAGGAGCCTCAGGATAATCCCAAGCCAAGCTTCCCCTGCCGGGCCTGGGCCCTGGGTCTCCCCCGGCACATGCTGTGGGCCTCAGGGCTCCTGGAGGTCAGGCAGGTCAGCCAGCAGCATCGGGGAATCCATCTGGATCTCACGCTGCAGAGACTCGATGTCAGAAGGGTTCATGCCGTGGCCCTCGAGCCAGTCAGCCAGCAGGGATGCTGAGAGCGAGGCCGAGTCTGTCTGGCTGCAGGGAAAGGGGAGCAGGGAGAGTTGTTACCGGGGCTGGCTCCCCCGCCTGCCCCCCAAGGCACGTTCCTCCTGCACCAGGAACCCAGCTGCGTTCCAGAAGTTCGGTCCAGCCAACTCACCCATCCTGTGGCCCATCCGCCACGCCCATATCGAAAGACTGGTTGAGGAATTCTTCCAGGTCAAAGCCAACGCCATAACCGGCCCCACTGCCCTTTGGCGTGCCCGAGAACGCGGGGGGCAGAGGGTCCTCCACCTGCAGGGGATATTGGCAGGTTACGACGCAGGCACCACCAAGAGCGGACTGCGGTCTGCAGGGAACCCGTCCTGATACTGCTCTAGACTCCGCCTGGATGCCCGCCATGGGTGCCAGCGCCAGCCTCGACAATCCCTGCGAGCTGGCTGGGCCCCTCTCCAGGCCGGGCCCTTCCTGGGGAGCATCGCATTTACCTCTCAGCCACCTGCTCATCAGCACTATGCTCCTCCTACGAGCATGGGCATACGTTCAGAGAGAAAGCCTCTGCTGCTCACTTTTCATGGAACAAGACACACCTCCCACAGCAAGGACTTCCCACACCCATGTCCCTGGGCCCAGGTCCAGGGGTCCGCACGGCCAGGCTTCTCTCTCACCTGAGACTTGGACAGCTGCTGGGTCACCAGGTTGACATCGGGTGACTCTGAGGTGGAGGGTTGAGGGGTCCCCCTGGGGTCTGGAGGGGCTGGGCCAGGTGGGAAGTAAGGCAGAACACCCAGGGTGCTGGAACCAGGCATCCCAGGGGGTGGCACAAGCGACTGGGGGGCCAGGAGGCTGGAGGTGGTGGTGGTCTGGAGTGGAGCAGGGCCAGGCACAGGCCTAGGAGGGCCAGCAGGGTGGGGAGCAGGGCCAGCAGCTGGGCAGGCCGGCTGTGGTGCAGGACCAGGGGTGGCGCCTGCAGGTGGTGGGGGTCCAGTGGGCTGGGCTACAGAGCCAGCAGGACTGGTGGGCCGGGCCGGAGGTGTTGTTACTGTGGCAGGGGGTGGGGCCGGGGGGGGGGGGGGGGGGGGGTGTCAGCACCGTGAGCACAATGGTGACACCACAGACATGGACTGGGGGGGGGGGGGCGGCTGGCTGGGCCATCCGAGTCCAGCGCTCCAGCAGGCTGCGATCATTGTCACTAAGCACCAGCCCAGCCAGGGGATCGGTGGAGGGGCCCCCAGAGGCCCCGGTCCCTCGCTCCTTGCGCTCCCGCTCCTGCCGCCGCTTTTCCCGCTCCTTTGCTCGCTCCTGCCTCCGCCGCCGCTTCTCTTCCCGCTCACGCTGGCGCTCCTGGGCTGTCACTGGCTTCCGAGGCTCCGGTGCTTCTAGGGGGGCACTGGGCCCATCTACAGGGAAGTTGAACAGGGGGAAGGTAAGAGCCGGTGGCCCTGTACAAGCCCAGAGTCCCTCTCCTGCCACCCCATTCCCCAGTCAGCAGCTGCTTCTGGAAGGCACCTCTGAGCCGGCTCCGCAAGGACTTGAGCAGGGCAGCTTTGAGGGCTGCCTTGGTGTTGTCGGAGATGGCACCCTCCCTCTTTGGAGGGGCTGGTTCACTGGCCAACGCGGGGGGTGGCTGCAGGGTCATATCAATGGTGTCAGGTGCAGGGCCAGGGCACGGCAGTGGAGCTGGCGGAGGTGACTCCATGGCACAGTCCCCACTGGGAGCCCAGGAACTGGGCATCTCAATGTCGGGGCAGCTAGGCTCACTGGCCACAGGCTGCAGAGAAGGCTGGAAGCGTATCTGCTGGCGGATGCCCTCGCGCCTGGCATGAAAGTCCTCAATCTCGGCCACAATGGCCTCCTTAATCCGCTCCCGGGTGAGGGCTTCCCGGTCAAAGGCAAAGTCAAAGGGTGGGGCACAGTCAGGCTCATCATCAGGGTCATGGTACTTGGCCAGGAAGGGGTGGCGAAGGGCAGCAGCTGCTGACATGCGGGCACTGGGCTCAAAACGCAGCATTCGCCCCAGCAGTGAGAGGGCCTGGCGGTCAGCACCTGGGTACACTGTCTCCCAGGGCACAGGCTGGCGTGGTGGCAGACTCTGGATATATGCCCGTACCCTTTCAGCCCCTACAGCCTGAATCACAGCTGGCGATGGGGTACCCAACACCATCATGATCAGCTGCAGCTGGTGCACATAGTTTTTGCCTGGGAAGAGCTGGCGCCTGGCCAGCATCTCACCGAAGATGCAGCCCACGGACCACAGGTCAATAGCCTGCGTGTACTCATGCAGCGACAGCATGAGCTCAGGGGCACGGTACCAGCGCGTGGCCACATATTCGGTCATGAAGTACTGATGCTCAGCAGGCGAGGTGCACAGGCCCCGTGCCATGCCGAAGTCACCGATCTTGAGCTCACAGTTCTCATTCACCAACAAGTTAGAGGGCTTGAGGTCACGGTGGATGACCTGAGCTGAGTGCATGTACTTGAGGCCCCGTAGCAGCTGGTACAGGAAGTAGCGCACGTGCTCCAGTGTGAGCGGCTGCGAAGAGTGGATGATCTGGTGCAGGTCGCTCTCCATCAGGTCCAGGACCACGTAACTAGAAGGGACAGGGAAGAGGCTTGGCTGTCCTGCCCACACTCCAGCCCCAGCCTCACATGCCCTCCTGACTGCAGACATGTAATGGCCTTACCCGCAGATTCTGTAGGGGCCAACAGCATGGTATAAAGATCCTAGAGTCTCTACAGCTTTTCCATGAACTTAAGTGAAGTTAGATCCCTTTCTCTCCAGACCTATTTCCCCATGAGAAGGTGAGGTTGCACTAAACCAGGGCTGGCCAAGAGTTTTCATTTGGCAGCCATCTCTATTATTTGGGAGTGGCTGCTTGAAAGACTATGATGAAAACTGTGGTATCTTATCCATTTTCTGTGGGAAAGTGTTCTGTGATTGACTAGTGATGTCTGCTGTGGGAAAAGGAGGGTGTGATTATAGTCGAGTGTCCTCCATTCGCTATCCCATATTCTGAGAGTCTATAAAATTGTAGCACCTGTCCTCTTCCTGAGGAATCACAGCTGTCCCTGGGAATGCCCTAGGGCAGTGGTTCTCAACCTTCCTAATGCCGAGACCCTTTAATACAGTTCCTCATGTTGTGGTGACCCCCAACCATAAAATTATTTTCGTTGCTACTTCATAACTGTAATTTTGCTACTGTTATGAATCGTAATGTAAATATTTGATATGCAGGATGTATTTTCATTGTTACAAATTGAACATAATTAAAGCATAGTGATTAATCACAAAACAATAAGTAATTATATATGTGTTTTCCGATGATCTTAGGTGACCCCTGTGAAAGGGTCGTTCGACCCCCAAAGGGGTCGCGACCCACAGGTTGAGAACCGCTGCCCTAAGGGAACACTGGTCCTGAAACCGTGGGAATTTTCCAGCCTGCCTTACAGAGGTTCAGCTGTCCTTCCAGAACGGTGGCAACCCGGTCCCAGCCTTCAGAAAACATCCCAGTCCAGCCTCCTCTCCCAACACCCCTCCTTACACAGACGTGAACTCGCCGTAGGGCACGGTGGGCCTCAGGATGTCCTTGATGGCGATGATGTTGTCATGCTTGAAGTGCTTGAGGATCTTCAGCTCCCTGAGGGTCCGCTTGGCATTAGTCACCACATCAAACGCATTAGGGATCTTCTTAATGGCCACCTGCTGGCCTGGGAGCAGAGGAAAGGCAGATACTGTAAGGTCCCTGGGGCAGCTGCAGTGGCACAAGGCCGCCTTCAACACCTCCCATTAGGATGCAAATAACAGCAGCTACCACTACTGAGTAACAGCAGCTGCTGTATACTGAGCACCTACTAGTGCCAAGCCCTGTGCTAAGCACTTTACAGACATGATCAGGTTCTCCCTTCTCATCCACCAGCTGAGACAGTTACTAACAGCTCAACGTTAGATGAGGAAATCTCATCTCAGTAATTTACTGGGGGTGGCATAGCTAGTGAGTGGTAGTCTAGACTCCCTAATGCCTGCTCATTCTACCTCCCTACCTCTCCCCAGCACAGGATCTCCAACCGGGTCCAATCGGGACTCGTTTTTCTAAGGAGGAAGTCGGCTGATGTGCTGGCAAAACCATCATGGCGGGTCTCTGAGACCCGTGCCCAACACAGAGCCTGGGCGCCCAGATGGCACCCACCCCATGTGTGACTTAAACCAGAATCTGCGTCCCAGCCTTCCCTCCTGGCTGTCTGGGACGGAGGCGGTTTCCACACCTGGCACAGGACACCTGGGGCGGCTCACCGGTCAGGCGGCGGCGGGCGGAGGACACCACCCCGTAGGCGCCGTTGCCGATGGTCTCGATGATCTCGTACTCGTCCCCCACGTCAAAGGTCACGTCCAAGGAGCGAGCTTTCAGCAGGGCCAGGTTCTTGGCCGCTACAGAGGCAGCGGTGCTGGCGGGCTCCGCCTTCACTGGCCCGGGGGGCTCCCCAGAGCCGTCCTCGCCGTCTTCCTCCTTCAGGGGCTCGGCCATGGCGCCTGCGTGGAAACGCTGGTGAGGGGAGGCCCGCCCGCCAGGACCTCAGTTTCCCCTCTGAGGCTGGGGGGCAGGACCAGGGAACTTCCAAGTTCCCTAAGCCGATGGAGACCGGGTAGGAGGCACAGAGGGTGGCTGGCACGTGGGAGAGGTCCACACCGGGACTCGGGGCTCGGGGCTCGGGGCTCAGGTCCGGTGAAAGCAGGGTCGGGTGGGGGAGGCGCCCGAAGCGCGGTCCAGGAAGAAAGGGAGGGGCGGGGCACCGGCTGTCCCCGGCTTACACTCACCGACCGCGCCTC